GCGTGTGCGTCAAGTCTGAGGAGGAGGGGCCGGGTGAAAAAACCCCTCTCCAATATTTTGAATTTGGACTGCAATACCTAGTTCAACCTAGTGATGGGAAGTCCGGCTCTTTTCAAAGATTCGGCTCTTTTGGTTCGGCTCCCAAATGGCTCTTCATTTAGTATCACTCAGAGCCTTCTATTTTAGCCCAACTGATGCGATTTCTCCTCTCTGTGATTATTTGTCCTGTTTTTGAGAAGACTCTGAGGGGACTGATGTTGCAACAATGCAGTGTCTTCCTACCTTAACCAACGCACTCGTGTGTCCCCCTTCCTTCTTTCACATAATGGTATGATCCTAGTCTTGTCCTCCCATGTGATTAGCCGCATGTGTATTTTTTTTTGTAATGAAAAAATGCTTAAAAATAAGGCTTTTATGAAAACACTGAATAAAATATTGCTTACCAACACACAAACCATTCACAATTGCTAAATTGGGCTAAAATAGAAGGCTGAAGATTCGGCTCTCCCTGATGGGAGTCGGCTCTTCTCGTTCGCTACAAAGAACATCACTAGTTCAACCACTCGGTGTCAATCCTACATACAGCACCTTTAATGAATGTGAAATGAATGAATTAATGAAAAGTTATTTATAACACACTGAATGTGGGTCTTAATAACACTGGCAAGAAATAATTACAAGTCATTCTGGCCTTCGAAAACAGTTTGACTGTTCTTACCTGAGATTTGAGCACAAAGACACCGTGTTTCTAATGGAGGTTAAAGTGGAATCCGTCAGGCCTGCACGCCACATGCTGCAAAGCATCACCATTAATAGGAAATCGACATAACATGCTGTTTATTTGCAACAGGAACACTCATAAACATACATACAACACACACACACTCAAAGGCTTACTGTAAGCACTGCAGGTTACTGAGGGACGACAATATCCTGCTCAACACCTGAAGCACCACCTCATCCACCCTCCATCCTAAAAAATAACAAATCATTTTGATATTAAACATTTCTTAGGAGTGTGAACAGCTACATCTTATTGTTTACATTACAAAGAAGCAACAGCCTTACCAGTTATTTTGACTTCCTTTACGCTGCCGTGGTCTTCATTCTCCAGCTCTATCTGAAGGCAAGGCTTAGAGGACCATGTTGTCATTTGACTCTCTAAAGATTGATTGTCCTCTTCAGTCCGGGTTAGGGTTTTTATTATGAAAAAATTACGAGTTTTTTAATATGGGAGACAAATAAATAGCATTAAGTATAACATATCATCCTTTAGTAGAGTAACGTTAGACATTACAATGTATGTTTTATGTACAACAGTATTTACCCATAACTCCTCTATTTGTAGATGTTGACTGCTTTATCTTCACAAAAGGGATCTCTTTCACACCCATGAGTTTGCACAGCTCTGTGAAGTCCAGCTCCACATCTAGTGTGAGCGATACAAAAACACACTGACATTGACTTTATGTGCTCTAGGGACTAGCACACAGCATTTTAACTCCAACAAACAGCATATCTTCGGACATGGCATATATTTTGGTTATTTAAAGATCACGTGAAGTCAAAATCTAATCAGTCTATCTGTCTTTACAGTCACATACCTGCAGTTTTAGGTGGTTCTTCGTCGGTCACAGAATCCACCTTGTCCACTTTCTCCTTGGAGGATTTTTCAACTCGTTTTTTCATCTTTTAAGCGGAAAACTAACCAGCAGTTGGTTAAACCTAAAACAAAACTAAATGATTAATATAAATGATTAATAATTATAATAAATACACAGTTGACTTGAGCAACTTTTATTCAGCTTCTTGCTCGCTCAGGTTGTATTCCGTTGCCATGCCAACAGCTGGCGCCTCACTTGAAATATGACTAGTTATTGGCGTCACCTAGCGGATGGCGGCAAAAAGAAAACTCTGAAAATACACCGTTCTTGTAGATAAAACCTTACAAAAATGACCACAGTAATTTTTCTTGCCTGTATTAAATACAATAAAAAATAATGTATCAGATAACTAATAAAAAAGAACAAATTTACTTAAATTCATACATTAATAAACTGAAAAAGCAGGGTAGTTTAAAAACGATTTTTTTTTTAGCTCAACAGAAAATGAAATAAAAGTATAAATTTTGCATATCATACACGTATTTAACTGCAGGAACTATTTTTCTGGAGGTGTAATATGACCAAGAAAGAAGATGTAAGATGAATTAGAGTAACTTGCTTTAATAAATGCTTTCACAAATATCTAAAGGTGCTGATGAAAAGAGATTCATTTTTCAAATTAATATAATTCTTCTGTCAGGACATAGTGGTAATATTTCTTAAATTTAATATACTATCATCTTTATGAAGTCTGAGTCAAAGTTTTGATAAAATTAAGAGACACATAACATTTTTGTGAATCATCTTGGATTCATTTTGAAGCAAAAATGTTGCCATTTTAATAACGAATGGCAGATAAATGCCTCAAGAATTAATAGATGCATCAGTATATATGAAAACATCAGTTAGCATTAATTGGAGTTCAAATGATGGTACACAATGTCAATGTGCTACGCAATAGTTAAAATTCACTTTATTTGAAGATGTAATGACTGTCCATACAGTTAAAATACGATTTGTCTGTATACCTGGAGTAATAATGGTTATGACCTAATAAGGAACTGTATCACAGATTCTCTGCTAAATGTATGAGCAACAGGCAAGTATATTCACAATAATGTAGTGCTTTTTATTAAAAAAACAAACAAACAAACAAAACAAATAGAATATAAAACAAAAAAAGTAAAAACCAACAGCATTTTTCATGACTTTATAATTACAAACTTTGAACCAGAGTGGAAGAAGTTTCGACAAACTGTACACAACATCACAAAATGCCTGCCAGTCTGTCCATATACAATGCTTGCATCTTATTTTGTGATTGTCTAAAAAAATAACTAAACAAATCACACAAAAACACACAAATACAAGAAATACAAGCATTATATTTATGACCGCTATCACAAAAAACAGAACAATCTTTTCTCATTTGAAGAACAAAAAATAAAAAATAATTTTTTTTAAAGGAGATTAAGAACATATTGGGTTGACAGCTTATTTTTTTCTGCCAAAATATAATTTTACATTTTTATGTTGGTTTGTTTTTTTAGTGTTCAACACTTTGCAGCAAAAAACGAGGAACATTATATCTTTTTCTCCTCAAAAAGTAATAATAATAATTAGAATAATGTTAATATTAATTATTACAGTGACGGGTGCCAGGTGTGGGGTCACTGCGACGTCCCCTTCCACAAAGTCCATCCTCCCTCTCGCAATGAGCTCAATTCATGGTTTTGGGTAACAAAGTTTCAGACGGTTCGCCGCTTACGCCGGAAATTTGTAGCGATTATTAATCATAATGTCTGCCGCTTTCTCGCCTGCTTCTCGTAAAGTTACATGTCAATACAAATCGCATAATAATCATAAGAATCGTAATAATAATAATAATAATAATAATACATATAGGGCTGAATCCTGTACAATACAATACACAAAATCCATTATCAAGATATTGCTTTTGGAGACATTTCTCACATTTTCCTGTCTGTTTATATACATAGCTTGGCACTATACAACTTTCTTCCCTTTCGTTTGTCAGTTTTCATCGTTTTGTTTTTTTCCTTGTCGGTCCATCTAAGGGGTTTGAAATACTTATCAGTCATAGCTGATGCATTAAGGGCAAAAATCTCATCATGATTTTGTTTATAAACATTCTCCATGGCAACCTGAAAGGCCATTAAAAACAATAAAAGAAAAGAAAAAGAAAACAGCAACACTAAAACCTGAACCCGACCCCATCCCATCCGCCCTACAAGCCACTCACAAAAAATATGACATTACATGACAGTAAGTTCTTGTGAATTCATGAATTTAACCGTTTATTAACTGCTGTCAAGCCCTTAGTTGTTTCCTCTTTCGTATTTATATTATTAGAATGGGCTCGCACACACACGCTCACAAACACCGTAAAGAATCTCACACACTACCATAAACAAAAAAACGCTCAAGATAAAGGCATTCTAAGGCGTTATATAAAGCCAGCGTGCCTCCACTGCTAGATTTTGTTTGTTTGTTTGTTTTTTTTGTATTTATGTTGAGCTGGTGAATTAAATACTTTTTTAAAAAAAAGGGGTGGGGCTGGCAGCCATTCTAACCAATCGCAATGCCCACGATAACAGGAGCGAAACATTCAAGCCCAGTCCCGAAGTCACAAATATGGATACCCCCATCGTGCTCCATTCCTAATGTAATTACAGTATAACAAATAAAAAAACAAACAGAAAAAGAAGGTAACATACTTATGTTTTGCTTTATCATACAGCATTGATCAATACTGCGTGAGTGTTAGTGTGTCTTATCCGTACATCTCCGGGAGCGAATGATGTCCTTGTTGTTAAAAGTGCAGTTAGCTCTCTCCTTTCTCTCTTTTTCTCAGTCTACGGGCAGTGTGTGTGCGCTACACTGCACCTCCTATGATGCTCCTATTTATTTTTCTTTCTTGGTTGCACTTAAGTCATTCCCATTGTCGACCACAAAGTGGCGCCAGACTCCCATGTTTCCATTTGCACCCGAAATGAAGGCCAAATATAGTACCACATAGTCATAGGAGACATTTGACCAGTGAAGTAGTTAATCTGCAACAATTCGGTTAGAATTTCAAAGCAAACTTTCCTATGTCTGACACTTGTTCTTTTTAAATGCATCAAGCTTGACGGCTATGTCCTCAGTGCACGAAACTCGGGCCGGTCTCTCTTGTTAGAAAGCTTGTTTTTCTAAATCTGAACTTGTCGCCTTTCACCTCTGTTGACCCCCTCGTTTTCAGGTGTAGTCCACCTCTGCTCCTCCATATTCATTATTCTCTTGCTGCTCTGCAAGCGTGCTCGGCAGAGAGTGTAGTCAGCATTACTTCCTGCAAATAAATTCGCTCAGTCCAAGCGTCCGTCTGCGGAGGCGGCGACCAGAGCCTTCCTCCAGAAGATACGTCACATCTATCGCTGTAAGGGAGACATAACAGGAGAATTAGTTTTCATCATAGAAGAGCTTACAGTAGATTTGGAGCAGTGTGGGGCAAAATGAGCAGATTATGAAAACATATGGTGTTTAAAAGGTTTTTAAACATAGGTTTTTTTATGTATATAAAACAAGGCTTCTGTGAATCAGTTCTTAAGAATTTTTTATTATTATTCAGAATAAAATAGGGCATATTAAATAATGACAATAAGCAATAACATTATATATTAATCACCCCACATAAACTTTCGGTCATGCCCAACATTTTTCTAATTTACATTAGATCTCTATCTTTAAGCCCTTTCAAGCCACAAGCTTTTGAAATCTTGATGTCAAAATCCAGCATTTTTCCAAAAAAACCTGGCGCATAAAGGGTTAAGCTTTAAAGCGTTTCATCCAGGTCGCCAGTAGCAAACAATGGAGCACGCTCTACTAGACAAACTAAGTAATTACACCATTTCAAGCATTTTATCTGCATTATATGTTCTGTAAAAAAAATTTACATATCGGCGGCATATTCGCCGATACCGATATATCGGCGACAGGCTCATATCGGGCTCTAATATTATTACTATTTCCCAACTAAAACTTTAAAAATATGAATAAAATAATACATTATTGACTTAAATTAACATTTATGGCTGAATCTCAGAATAAGATCAAGGATAAACAAAATTATAAAGATAAAATATATTTTGAAGTATAATGTAACAGTTATATTATATTTTAGAACACAAAGTAATAATATTATGAATAGTATTAATTATTAATAGAAATAAAATCATTTCTAATCTAAAACTGTAAAATATCAATAATGTAAATTATTGACAATTAATGACATTTATCAGTGAATCTAACAGAAAAAGTCTAGGTCAAATTTCACTAAATAAATAAACAAACAAACAACATTTTTCATGAAATATCCAGATCAAATCTAAACAAAAACTACAACAATATATATTTTGTTGTATAGTATGATATAGTTTAACTTTAAAACACTAAATAATATCATATGAATCATTAATTTTAATATGAATAATATCATTATGAACATCTATGTAATGTCATTAATATAATTAGTGTAAAACTGTAAAATATGAATAAAATAACAAATGATTGACCACATTCACATTTTTGGGTGAATCTCACAGAAAGAAATGCCCAGGCCAAATTTGACCCCTACAAAATCTGAAAAAAAAAAAAAAAAGATTAAGTAGCTATGAGTCAACAATGGGGAGGAAAAAAAACACAGATCTTTAATCAGATTTACAAACAGTCGATAACACCACTTCCCATCCCATCTAAAACTGTCAAAATATGAGTACAATTAAAAATGATGGCCTATAACAATGTATGGGTGATTCCCAAAATGTCCAGTCAAAATTTCAAACTTAAATTTAAAAATATTTAAATAAAAAATAAACAAATAAATAAAAATATTTTTACACACTCACACACACATATACAGTAATTAGTAATATTCAAAAACAAAGTAATACTACTATTAATATCAATAAATATTACAAACAAATATATTAAAAATCTGTAAAAATATGAATAAAATAAATTCTTATTCATAAAAACATTTATGGCTGAATTTCAGAAAGATATGTCCAAAAACAAAAACAAAAAAATCTGTAATGTAATATATCAAACTTCAAATACAAAGTAATAATAGTGAGTTAATATGATTAATAATTGAAGAGTGCCATCTGAAATTTTCGTCTAAAATAAGCATTTTATCAGGCTCCTATATTTATGTTCAGCTATCCAGCAGGATTTGGCACCTGCTCACACTGCCAAAAGCACCAAAAGTTGGTTAAATGACCATGGTGTTGGTGTGCTTGACTGGCCAGCAAACTCACCAGACCTGAACCCCATAGAGAATCTATGGGGTATTGTCAAGAGGAAAATGAGAAACAAGAGACCAAAAAATGCAGATGAGCTGAAGGCCACTGTCAAAGAAACCTGGGCTTCCATACCACCTCAGTAGTGCCACAAACTGATCACCTCCATGCTACGCCGAATTGAGGCAGTAATTAAAGCAGAAGGAGACCCTACCAAGTTATTGAGTACATGTACAGTAAATGAGCATACTTTCCAGAAGGCCAACAATTCATTAAAAATGTTTTTTTTTATTGGTCTTATGGAGTATTCTAATTTGTTGAGATAGTGAGTTGGTGGGTTTTTGTTAAATGTGAGCCAAAATCATCACAATTAAAAGAACCAAAGACTTAAACTACTTCAGTCTGTGTGCATTGAATTTATTTAATACACGAGTTTCACAATTTGAGTTGAATTACTGAAATAAATGAACTTTTCCACGACATTCTAATTTATTGAGATGCACCTGTATTGCCATTAGAGTAAATTTACTGAACCTAAACATAGGAGCCGGATACAAATGCTCATTTTAGATGAAAATGTCAGATGGCACTTATTATTTTAATAGCAAGTACAGCAAGTAAAACATAAATAAAAAATATTGTTGTCAATAATATGTTATGGGTGAATCTCAGAAAAGAAATGTCCAGGTCAAATTTCACCCCTCAAAAAAATAAAAAATAAATAAGAGAACATATTGTGATATAATGTAACAGTTTATATTAAATATTAAAATGTGAACCATTAAAAGACCCAAAATATATTTTGTGATACAATATAGCCATATTAAATAATAAAATATATCATATTTTAAATATTTTATAAAAAAAAAAACCTTGCTACGTGTACTTCATTAAGCTACCTGAGACTTGTTATAGCACTTGCATATCTTTGCTCTTTTGTTGATTTTGATTGCTTCCATTGTCCTCATTTGTAAGTCGCTTTGGATAAAAGCATCTGCTAAATGACTAAATGTAAATGTAATGTAGATATTACACAAAATAATATAATTAATGTTGTCATACAAAAAATCCTCATGGTTCTAAAAATCCTTCTTATTTTTTCACTTCTTTATCAGTTTTGTGAGATTCCTAGCTTATACAACTACTCACTGAGAAGTCCCTCTTCGGTGTCAGTCTTTTGGGGAAGTGGTTGAACGCATAGGGCTTGGTGCACACTGGGTACCGGTTGCGGTGGATCTTGTAGAACAGGTGTGCTGATTTATCCAGCCGGTAGTCGCAGATGTAAACGTCCTGTTCCTTTACCCCTTTCGGACGACCTGAATCCATTAGCGAGAGCATCAGGCATTAGCATGCAAAGCGTATGGTGGTTTTCATGTTTTCAGCATGTAACATCTGGTTCAGTGCATTTCTTGGATCTCACTGTTGATTTGTTTATGTAAAACTGTTGTACGTGTGAATGTCTCACCCTTGCAGTAAGTATACAGGTCCAACACACAGCATGTTCCCACCACCGCCTCCAGCGGTATGATCTCATACAGAGGCACTCGGAACAACTCGTTATGATAGAAGCGGCGGGAAGGAGAGTGGTGCGTCTCATGGGGACGGAAGCAGTGATGACCAAAGGCAAACCTCTCACCTCTAAAGAGAGAGAAAGTGAGTCGAGATCAAATCTAAAGTCCATGCATCTTTTAATTAAAGAAACAAGCATTGACGAGGTGATTTAGTGAAGTAAGACATATTCCTTTCAAACAATCCCACCTCTACAACCAGAAGCTATTGACAGGAGGATAAGAACTTTGTTTAAGCCTGAGCCTAACACCGTGTCCTAACTACACGCGACGCGACAAGCAATTTGGCTGTCCACACTCAAGTATAGGTCTCTACAGGAAAGTAATCGGAGTCACCAGATCGGGGCGTTTTTAGACCATGTTTCCTGATTGGCTGACGTCATAGTGACGGTAGGTTTAGGGGTGGGGTTAGGTAAGGGGGATCATTTTGATTGCATGATTGAGAAACACCCTGCAGTTTGAAAACACCCACAAATTCAGAAACGCCCACTTTTGCTCTGCAGAGACCTCAATCTCTCCACACTAGACGTGACGCAACACTGTGACGTGACAGAATCAATCAAATATCACAGCCAATCAGAAGCGTGTGTGGGCGGGCTCTCAGTGGAAGCGCACTGCTCTTGGAAATGGATACGTTTATAATCTAATTCATAAATATTAGGAATACACTCGTTTTAACGGTCATCTTTGCTTTAATTTATTTTCAAGATCTGAGGTAAACTATCTATTGTTGCTTTCAGTTTGGCTATAAGGTAACACAATATGATATTTAAACTCATATTAGACAAGTTTAACTTTGAATAAAGCACATAATCAACTGAGATGATCTACTTTCATGTTGTTGTTCCAGCCGCGACCTCGCGGAAATAGAAACCGTTTCTAAATTAGAAATTTTGCGTATCGGCGTCGTGGCTAGTTAGGACAAAACCTCCGATTAACATGGAAAAGATACCTTTTATCGCGTGTCACGGCGTCGCGCCGCGTGTAGTTAGGACACGGTGTAACCTTTACGCTAAACATTAGGGTGATAGGAATGTTGTTCCATGGTCAACAGGAATGTCAATGCTTAATTCTGAATCAAGAGTGCAAATAACTATTTGAATACGAACGTTTGATAGCACTTTAGTTTAGGGACTAATTCTCACTTTTAACTAGTTGTTTATTAGCATGCGTAATACTAGCATACAGGCTGTTTATTAGTACTTATAAAGCACATACAAATAACCCCAAAAAAGGATAGTTCACCCAAAAACGAAAGTTCTGTCAGTAATTACTCACCCTCATGTTGTTCCAAACCTGTAAGACCTTCGTTCATCTTCGGAACACAAATTAAGATATTTTTGATGAATTCCGAGAGCAAAGAAAACAAAAATAATGACTTTATTCAACAATTTCTTCTCTTCTGTGTCAGTCTTTGCCGCGAGTTCATGAGAGTACCACGATGCAAGCATGTGGTGCTGCTGACGCAGGAAATTGTTGAATAAAGTCGTTATTTTTGTTTTCTTTGTGCACAAAAAGTATTCTTGTAGCTTCATAATATTACGCTTGAACCGATGCATTTGCGTTGCTGTCTATGGGAGGGTCAGAAAGCTCTTGGAATTAATCAAAAATATCTTAATTTGTGTTCCGAAGATGAACGAAGGTCTTATGGGTTTGGAACGACACGAGAGTAATTAATGACAGAATATTCATTTTTGGGTGAACTATCCCTTTAATCCTATCAATACCTTAATTTAACAACTACCTTACTAAGTATTAATAAGCAGCAAATTTGGAATTTATTGAGGCAAAAGTCGTAGTTAATAAGTGTAGTGAATCTCACTTTTCGTTTTTCCAGAGTTTCTCAATACGGAAGATGTCCAGTTTGTCTCTGTTGATATGAGACAGGAGACGGTATGACTGACGCACCGGCTGGCCTTCTGTAGTGCGTCTGCTGTCTCTCATGAGGTACACACAGTCACCTGCAACAGCCACACGCAAACATAAATAAACCTAAACACATCTGAACCAAAATATTACAATATACACTACAGCTGGAAGTTTTAAAAAATATGTTTGAAAAATGTCTCATGCTCAGCAAGACTGCATAATTGCATTTTACAAACAAGTGATTTTAAGCCCTTGAAATGCAATCAGCAGCAAAAAAGAACTCATTTCACTATATGTGCACGCTGTCTGAGAAACTGTTTCTGAGCACTGTCAGAGAGGTGCGCGCACATGAATGCGTTATTTTTGCAAAATTCCCATCTTTGCAAGTATCTTCGTAAACACAGTAGGTCTTAAGTGAAGGCAAACAGCTGCGAAAGAAAACAAGTAAAACTATATTGGATCCGGGCAGCTCTTAAAATGACAGCAGTCTAATATTCCTGCTGTCTGTCATTCATGTTAATCAAACAACAAAAGAGAGAAAATCTCTCAGTGCTCTGTCTTGACTAATCACTTTTGTAACTTTAATAAAAAGAGAGATATATTTCATTTACACAGTGAAGAATATGCAGTGTTTTTTAAACATCTGATTACTTTATACAATGTATGTAGCATTTCTCAATAATTTGTTCCACTGTAATTTTTTTTGTCCTATTGCTTGTAATTAGTTCCTTATTCTTAATTACTGACTGTTTACTTGTCTTCGGTGAGCTTGAGTTTTTTTTTTTAGGCTGGTATTATTTTTTTGTGATACTGACACTGATGACAAAAAATATGAAATTTCTATGGTATCAAAAATGTCGATATCATAAAAACCTTATTAAAAGCAAAAATATCTATATCATGATATATATTGTTACCGTGAAATAAAAATACTCATATCGAGATATGAGATTTTGGACATATTGCCCACCCCCAGGATGTTGCAATGTAGCTGGTATGGTGTTTCTAGATGGTTGCTTTTTATGACAAGTCAAAAGACTGTATTCCCAAGCCTCTTTAATATTCAGGTACCTAGATATGAAATCTGATCACTCCTGGCCAATTTTACAGTCTACCAGGTGAAAATCTTTAGTTTGGTCACTTTGAAAAGTAATGCCACAGAGCTCTCCTCAACAGGGAGATTAGGGATTCAAATCCCTAATCTTAAGTATGAGCACATACCATGCACTTCTCACACTGGATCATGAGTCCTTCATCCTTGTACATGCCACAGATGCAGCGGATCACATCATCGTCTTTGTCATGGCTGCCCCCTCCATCATGGTGATGGTGGGCGTGGTCTCTCTCTAGCGAATCAGAGCTGTCGGCCTCACTGGCAGTCTCGCCCACAATCTCATCAATCTGAACAGCAGCCTCATGACGCGCACCGTAGTACGCCTTCCTCAGCCGGCACACGTCACGACCCACAGCAGACTTACGGCCATAATATTTCTGTTGAGAATAAGGAAAAGTACAAGAGAGATTAAGGAAAGTAATGCAGAATATGCCAGAGAAGATACTTTGAAGTGATTTCGACATGTCCAATTAACTGTGAAAAATATAAGATATTCATCTTTGTCCTTATTCTTTACTATTTCTTAGTTTTTTTATTTAAAACTTTTTTTAATGAGGACAAAAATACTGAGTGCACCGATTGTCCACTTGTTTATCACTTATTTATTTGTTATACTTTGAGTACTTCTTACATTAACTAAAATGATTTTATTAACTATAGTTATTTTCAATATCATTACTTATAATGACATCACAAAGACATCATCATACATCAGTAGGCTATATCATAGCCTACTATAATCATATTTGTGAGTAGGGGTGTGGGTAAACACACATGTAACAGTATATTGGATGCGGGCAGCTCTTAAAGTGACAGCAGTCTAATAATCCTGCTGTCTGTCACTCATGTTAATGGTGACAAGAATTGTGAAATTTCTATAGTATCAAAAATTTTGATATCATAAAGACCTTATTTAAAGCAAAAATAACTATATTGTGATATATATCGTTACAGTGAAATAAAATTAATTACTCGTATCGTGATATAAGATTTTGTTCATATCGCCCACCCCTATTTGAGAGCAATGAGTATAAGAGAAGTGGGACTAACCTCAGCATTACGAAACACTTTCAGCATGTCCGAATCAAATGCCTCGACGGTTTTGTAGTGCCCAGTGAGGATCTGCTTCTCTATGGTACTGAGATCTAGCGGATCGGTGACCTTCTCATAGTACTGTACGTTCCTGTTGACGCATATGGACATATCACAAAAAGTAAGTATAGCCATGAAGGATGAAGATGTTACAGTGACCATAAGACACATCTTTGATTGTTCTCACAGCAGTTATTAATACCTCAGAATGTTATAAGAACCATATCTGCAGGTCCCTGACAACCTTTGTAGACCCTTTAACTGCACCAAATATTTAAAGGGGTCATATGATGCGATTTCAAGTTTTCCTTTCTCTTTGGAGTGTTACAAGCTGATTGTGCATAGATAAGATCCCTGAAGTTGCAAAGACTAAAGTCTCAAAATCAAAGAGATATTCTTTATCAAAGTTAAGACTCTGCCACGCCCCCCTAAAACGGCTCATTCTAACACGCCCCCACATATCTACCTCACCATGTGGAAATATTTGCATAATGCGCCCAAATGATCACGCAAAGAAAGAAGGCGTGGTTTCACTAACCACAATTAGTGTTGAAGCAGCATGTCAGGGAGACGCTGTGTGTTTCAGTGCGAAAGCAAAAGCACTTTATTTGGATCACTTACAAGGAGGGGGCTTTGTAGAAAACGAAGCGTTTGAGAGAGGCGGGGCATAGAGGACCTACAATAATGTACAGTATTTGAAAAATAATGTGTTTTTTGAACATTAAAGCATGTCAACATATTCTGTTACACCAAATACACAAAATAATGATCTTTAAAAAAGCATCATATGACCCCTTTAAAAAGTACATATTTATATAGTAAATAATCTGTACTAAGAACATAATATTGTTCTCACCTCTTCCTAGAAGGTAGGTTAAGCAGCGGAGCAGCAAGAGTCTGACCAGATGAATCTTCAAAGAACAAGAAAGCAACTGATTATGTGAGAATGCATGTCATATGCAGTGTGTTTAATTGAAAGTAAGTCTCATGACGCTGAGGCAATAAAACAAAAATGCACTACAATTAGATTGAAACTAGAATCAACATTCTAGATGAAATCAAAATCAAAGCTTTTTGCAGAATCGCATAACACACTAATTGAATTTTGCATAACTAAATCATTTAAAATGAGATTTCCAGCAGAACAAATAAGTAATGAGTGTCAGCACTTGGTAATAAGTTCACAACCGATTGCAGTCTAGACAAACGACTGTCTCACAAACTACAAATGCATGTCAAAATCAATGTCTACACCATGATTATGACCTTTGCTTCTTGCTTTGCATAATAAAAATGATTATGCAGTCATTAAAGTGACTGCCAACAATAAGATCAATAGCAAAAACTGTTTTTTTTT